AAATGTAGCCATGAAAACATGTCTTGTTGCCTACACACTAGGTGTACATTTTAGAAATCCAGTTAGCGTTTCATTCGTTTTTATGCATGTTCCTTTTATTTTTCCTTAGCATCTGAGCTCATTTCAGGCTTCTAACTGGAATGATAAGAATTCAGATAGATAGCCAGTGCCTGTATAGCAGCACAACCAACTAGATTAGAGTTTAGCACCGTGTGGCATTTCCTAGTCGCTGTAAGATGTTCCCTGAAGTTCTTTATTCATTCATGAAATGAGCATTTGTTAAGTGAAATGTCAAGCCTAGCGATCCATACTGAGTACTGTGAGATGCAACATAATTCATGGAGATCAATAAATAATACACAGTCTTGGCCCTCAAGGTGTTTAGAACCTAGAGGGAAGACAGACTTACACAGACAATTGTCCTCCAACGTGACGAATGCGGTGAGAGAGGCTCAGGTCCACCTGGCTGCCGAGGCATCACTTACTACTGGTTGATGGGTTGTACACAAGAATGATTATCCCCAATCCTTCCCCGAGGGTCTATAGCCTCGAAAATCGAGGAGCCCCTCAAACCAAGGACTCAAGGGGGTAAGCCAGTACTCAGAGCACCTGTCTTATCCACCTGCATGGCAGGACCTAAGGATGGATCATCTGCTTGGCAACACCACCTTCATCTGAGTCACAGTTGTGTGTCTTCCCTTCTAGACTCATGGCCATGATAGCTGATATTCCATGAGTGAATGAATGTTCAAACATCACCCGGCACCCTGCGTACCTTTTAAAACATTAAAACGTTTATTTTCACAAGCTTAGTATTATGAGATACAACATAATTCATGGAAATCAACCACAGTGCTAATACTTTAATAGATTATCCCAAATATTAGACATTACAGTTTAAATCTCCTTAACATTAACTCAAACGGTGGAATAACATTTCAGTTAATAAATGATTGTGCCTATAACCATATGCTCAGTTTATTCTCACCAGTTTATCATGAATTACAATTTCTTTGTGATTTGGGTCATAAACATGATAAACTATTGTTTATATATTTTCATAAATTGCCTGTGTATTTAATTAATCCCGAAGAGAATCTAGAAATATCTCCCAATGGGCTCTATAAATTAAGTACACTTTTTAGCTCTTGAATTTTAACACGCCCGGGTAACACCATAACGGCTCTTAAATTTACTTAAGTAATTATTCCACATGTTGTATAGCATTTATTTGATAATGTATTTTATAAGCCATAGTTATTTTGTGAATGTGTGCAGCCACATGTTTTGGGCCCTGAATCAAGTGTCTTCTGGGTAGTTCGGAAAAATGATGGGCTTCAAAAGTTACTGCTGTTTTGAGGTGACCTACCACTGTCCCATGCAGAGAGAGAAAACGGGTGGCAAAAACACGTGTCTTGTACTTTCCAGAGTTACCACACCTTCCTCATACTTCTGATGCTCTCAACACACCATGAGAGACAGAATTACTATTCCTGTCAGGTCTAAAATATTCTGACTGGGCATGTTCTCTAGGGCTCACGAGGAGAATTTGTATTGGCTTCAAGGCTATTGGTTAGGGGCTCTCTCGAGCCCCCAGTGCCCTCTCCAGTGGCCACAAAGGTGACTTCTCTGTCCAATGATGACAGCAAGTGGGGATGGCGGGACAGGATGCAATACAGGGCCTCGCCAGAATCAGTGTTCGCCTTTGAATTTGCTCTTCTGCTTTGGAATTCTTCTGTTCATTTTGAAGTTTAGACCAGTAAGCGAGTCTCCTGGTTTCAGGGTCCGCGAAGAATATATATATGTTTTTAGAGTCAGACCTCTAGTAATTAATCAGACAGCTTAACGCCACCATCTATTTTATTCAGATGTGTTTGTCCTTCTTGTAAAAGTCTTCCAGCCAGAGCGACAGCTCTGGCTAGCACCCTCAACTGCATTAGGAAGTGGTCAGAGGTTAGGAAGTGTAAGGATGAAGGAAAGACCTCAAACAGCAGAAGCCGAGAGTGGAGAAATCTTAACGGTAGGCAGCTCCTCCGGTCCCAGCGAATCCTCCTTCCGGGTGAGCATTTAGGAGTCCTGGAAGGAAACGCTGTTCTTCACCGATGAGAACACTCATTCCAAATTCTGGGTCTCCGCTCTGAACACTTAAACAAATGACAACCCCTTCCCCCACCAGAACGCTCTGATAAACGTGCCCACGTGCAGTGTGGGGCCAGCTTGCGCAGCGGGGGCGGCTGCTGCACCTGCCTGCATGGCTTCCTGGCCGGTATAACTCATTCATGTCCTCCCCGTGCCTCCGCTCTGGTCTCCTCTCTGGGTCCCTGTGAGGGGCTCTCCTGGGAGCAGCGAGGCCTTCGTTAACAAGAAGGGAGTGAGGGAGAAGCCCCGTCTCCTTCTCCTGCGCCGGGAGGCTCTGGCGCCCCCCAGAGGCACAGACCCTGCTGCGGCGGGGCCATTAGGAAGGCACCGTCTCATCCCTCTTCCGGGCACAGCCGTGAGTGAGACACAAGCCACGCTGTACCATGTGCAGGGAAAAAGGTGGGCTGCAAAAATATATTTTATGGTGTTTACAGTTATAGGGCCTTCCTCTCCTAGTCCTTGAAATCATGCTTTTATTAAATCTAGAACAAAATAAAGATTAAGAGAAAATTATTCATACTCCCAAATCCCAAATGACATGTATATGTTTTTATGAACGAACACGTGTTCTGAATACCTACTATGTGCCAGCCACTCTGTTAGCTGCTGGGAAACGAAGCACAAAGACATCGTGTGTGCTTGTCTCAGCACTAACGCACTGGACGCTCTAACGGAAGTGAGTGGGGAGGAGGTAAGACATGGCCGAGTGAGGGGATCTGAGCCCGTGCGCTGCAGAGGCTGGGGGGGGGGGGGTGTGCTTCGCTTGTCCTCCCGAGCCTGCTTTTGAACTGAGATGTTTGCAAATGACCTTCTGAGTGGAACCACCACCGGCTTCAAGTCTTCAGTGTATATCGTACACACATGTAAAAGGCTGGTGTGAGGGATCCTCAGCATTGCATCTGGTTCCTGTAGATGCTCCCCCACACAGGAAGCAGCCTGCACCACCCTGAGAAAGGGGCCTGGGGCTTGGCACCTGCTGGGAAAACGTGCCAGTGGCCGGGCCGGCGTGGCTCAGCAGTTGAGCGTCGATCTATGAACCCGGAGGTCAGGGTCCGTTTCCCATCAGGGCACATGCCCTGCTGTGAGCTCAATCCCCAGAAGGGGGCGTGCAGGAAGCAGCTAATCAAGGATTCTCTCTCTTCATTGATGTTTCTCCCTCTCCTCCCTGCCTCTCTGACGTCAATACAAATATATTTACAAGGTGCCAGTGGCCTCCTGGCACAGCGCTGGGGTGATGACGTCACGTGCCACGTTCCTGGCACCGAAGAGAACCTGGGTGCGTAGAGGTCCATATCTCCGGCCACAGACACAGCTGCCTCAGCGCCGAGACGGCGCCCAGCTGGGACTGTGCGAGAGCAGACAGCCCTCCACGATCAGCTGATTACAAGCCGTTCTCTGCAGCGACCGGCCGGCTTTTGCTCAGGGGAAGCGCGCTGTGCAGCGCTGTCTAAGGGAAAGGCTGGCCGCTCAGCAAAGGTGATAGAAACCGGGCGGCAGAGATCATTCTACTGACAGGAAGGCAAAGCGGTACAGGAACAGACAAAACCATTTTGACAAATTAACAAGTCAGTAAGGAAAATACTTAGAAAACGTGTTGGGTTATGTACAGTATCCCTCCTAATGAAAGACTGGCCACCTGCTCAGCTTCGAACACAGGATGCTCTGATGGCCTCGCCCTTTTATTTCTCAGCCACGCTGTTCCTCGTCTCGCGTGCGTCTTCCTTCATTAAATACCATTGCCCCGCAGTGGCCACAGTCAGCTCACTCCATGAGAAGTGAGTCAGCATCAGAGGGCGGGACCAGGCAGGGCCAGCACACACCTTCTCGTTGGACAGAGCTTACTAGTCAACAAAAAGCCCAAACTCACCTATTATATTTTGTTATCAAAAATACTTCTCAGCTAATGTTTATCTACCGATAACCAAAGTTACAAACGAACAAAACCCCTAGTTTTGCCAATAAATTAAAAAATGTAAGCAAAGTCGTTAAGAGGTTAAAAGCTTAGCCTGTCATCCCCACGTGATGGAGTTGAGGCTGTGCACTGAAAACAGAACTCCTGTCCAATGCCAGAATTCAGATTCCCCCGTTCCCGTGGTTTCCCTATGATGGTTCTTCCCTCCCACCCTCGTGAGACCTCATGAATCAGCTTGTCCTGAATCTCAATAGATGTCTCTTACTATCTGGCTGTTTGGCTGGATAGAGCTAACTCATATATAGCGTTTCTGAACATTCTTCCCATTTCTGGGTTTTAGTTCACATGATCGTAGGCATGAGGAGGAGGAGGAAGGAATATTATGAATTGGAGTTTGGAATTGGAAACATAAATGGAAATAACCTATTAGCATGGCCCTTGTGGATGTACCCTTCTGCCGAGGTAGTTTGTAAGCAAGGGACCGCTCATAGCAAGAGCCTCTCTGAGTGCACGTGGCTCTGTGACACTCGGGCTCTGCCACCGACCAACTTGATTTAATGGAATAATAAATGCTCCAGTGAGAAGTGATGGTACCAGTCTCCTGGTGGAGGAGGAACAAGCGGATTGGTTCGCCTACATTTTCTGTCAGGCGAGACTTAACCAGATCCTGATACGCACTCGAAACTGGTTACTACTGAGCGGCAACTAGATGCACTAGATGCATAGTTGCTTTGGGGATACTTTTAAAAGATTTTTTTTTTTTTTAGATTGGAATTCCCAATTGGTTTCTTCCATTCCTCCTCAGCCAAGAATGAAATGCTTGTTAGCTAGACTGAGTGAGATGACAGGACACAGGCCTACTTTACAACAAGTCCGTCTCCTTGATGGGTGGGAGGACCTCGGGGGGCAGCTCCACGGACGAGGGTCTGCTTTCAGTGCCAGCTTCTAGTCATACGGAGGACAGCACTTCCCCCGACGGGTCCTTGCCCTTCTTCTCCTCGCCCCGGTCCATGTCGATCACGTGCACCACGCCGGGCTTGAGGATCAAGTCCTCGGCCTCCACCTGGCTGCGGTTGTCCTCCACCTCCATGTAGCTCCCCTTGGTCTGCTGGGCTGCTTTGCTGAAGGCTTCTTTGAGGCGACGCTTGAGTTCCACGTCTGGGCAGAAGACGTACTCGTACAGGCCGCCAGCTAGGACCGCTCCGATGATTGGTCCAACCCAGTAGATCTGGGAGGAGAGGGAGGAGTTAGAGAACTCAGAGAAAGACCATCCCGTGAACAACTCCCGCAGGTAGAAATTAGCTGGCTTAAGTTAAGAGAGGGTCATGTGCGGATCACAGGGAATGAACTGTATGAAAAAGAGAGGAGCTGGACAGAATGAAGAAAAATACACCAAATCCACGTCAGAGAACCATCGTTAAATGACATTTGAGCAGAAAATAAGAAAAGACTGTTTTCTCTTTTTCTTTCATCAACGACTTGCTTTCCGTTTTCTGATGACCACCGAAGGACAGGTAGCCCCTCTTGGGTGGGCCTGCGTATGCATGGACATAAGAACTTGCAGCTAACACAGAAAAAGGTCTGTGAGTGCTTTGCTCGTGTTCTTGATGCCACCTCACAGGCTCCTGAGCTTCTCAGTCGTGCACAGTCTCCTCCCGGGAGCTCCTGCTGTCAGCACAGCGCGAAGAAGGCTATCAGCTCCCCGCTCAGCTCAGCTCTGTGCGTGTTTGCATCAGCGACTTCACTTCCTAACCCTCAATTCCTCACCGACTGAGCGGGGATTATAACAACACACAGATTATAACAACACATACCTCACGGGGTGCGGGATTAAATGGAAAGGAACTGAAATTTGATTACGTGCTTGTAGATACTGAACAGTTCTGGTGGCACAGTAACCTGTGCATCCCATGTTTCCCAGGTGATTTAAGATGCACGCGTCTAGGCTGGCCATCCCAGTAAGTCATCTCCGTGTGTGCCACGTGCTTTCCCTCTCTAACATGTGATGTGGCGTTTAACTAAACGCCTCCTGGCTCCTCCATTACTCTCCTGCAGAGCGCTCGCTCGCCCTTCCCGCCCGCGGTGAGCGGGAGGAGAGCCCTGCACTGCGTCCCCGGGTGCTGGCTGTCTGAGGATGAGCGAGCCAGGCCTCAGCGATGTTAATTCAGTAAACGAAAGCTTGTGTTGTATCACTTCTGTGTCTGGAATAAATTAAGTTTTGAGTTTGGGATAAACATCAACATTGGCTTTAGCGCATATGTAGGCTGTGGACAATTAGCCATTCATTCCAGAGATTCACGTGGGCTGCCCTAGCTGGTGTGGCTCAGTGGATAGAGCGTTGGCCTGAGGACTGAAGGGTCCCAGGTTCAATTCCTTCCCGCCAAGGGCACATGCCCAGGTTGCAGGCTCGATCCCCAGTAGGGGGAGTGGAGGAGGCAGGCGATCAGTGATTTTCTCTCATCATTGATGCTTCTATCATATTTCTCGCTCCCTCTCTTCTTCTCTGAAACCAATAAAGAAATATTAAAAAATGTTTTCTTTTTAAAAATTGATTCACATGGGCAACAAAAACCCCATTTATTGGGCACTGCCTCTGAGCCAGCTGTACTTAGTACTTTTCTCATAGCCTCTCATTTAACCCCAGCATCACTCTCTGAGCCGGGCATAATCAGAATTCATGCCTAGCAGCCCCTGAGCTGGGATTCCAGGCCCGTCTGCATGCAAACACTCTTTTGAACTATTACATCACTTTCCTCTGAGTCTTCTCATTTGAAAAAAAAAAAAAAAAAGTAACGAATGATTTGGGCTTCCAACACTCTCTGATTTTTAAAATCAGCACCCTCCCTGCAAAATCTAAAGAGAATTCAAGCTTGAAGCTAAAACTGAACATGTATACTGAACAGGGGAGCAGGGCAGAGTGGTTATAAGAACCACGTCTCCCATCTCCAGCATGAAAGACACCACGTGTGAGCTTCCCTCTGCAGGCCTTTCAGAGGAGCCCTCCGCTGACCGTCTTTACTCTCTGTTCCTTCAGTCAGATCTTCTTGGCTAGATTCACTCCACCAGCTACAAGTCCCACGGGAGACTGAATGCTGCACAATCACCACCCTACCCTCAGAGCACCTATGAACAAGGCATCGAGCTGCACGTGCTAAAAACGAACAGATCTGATTTTCAAATGGCTATTTCAAAACAAAGTCTTAAAGTACGTTGTATAAACTATAAAGGAAAATAATTTTATTCTTAAAAATTCAGAAAAGTATAAAAAAGAAAACTAAAATAATGTCATTATTATTTTGGTGTTATTTCTAGTCATCTATCTATCATCTATCTATCTATCTATCTATCTATCTATCTATCTATCTATCTATCTATCTATCTATCATCTACCTATCTATCTATCTATCTATCATCTATCTATCTATCTATCTATCATCTATCTATCTATCTGCAGATATATTTTAACTTAGTTTTAATTTTTACACACCATTGGACATTCACTTTCAGTAGGAGTAGGTTTGTTATAAAATAACAGGAAGAAACTTTGATTCAATCAACAAGCTAAGGATTTTCCTACTCTTTAAATTATCCTTAGTTTACCACACCCAATAAAAACGCATTTTCACCTGCATTTTAAAGTCCTCATAAATTGAACTAAATATTGTCATTTTTCTAAATTTTAATTGTAAAAAAAGTTTGAATTTAATAGGTTGGTTGAACTGAAAGTTGTGTCGTTTTCATAAGATCTATATACTGTCCATAAAAACATTTCCATTCCTGTTGCTGTGACAATTTTGTCGAGGCATACATTTAGAAATATCAGTGGCAAAATAACCAATCCGATGGGTTGTACTGTTGAAAAGTCTTGGCCTGTCTCGGTCCTGACTCTTGCTTTTGAACACCGACTCCGAGTTAGTCAATGGGGTGGATTTCTGTAAACACGTGGCGTGGATTTTTAGGACTGAATGCTCACCCTGGGCTGCCAATTGCTTCTCATTTGCAGTGTTTCCTGTGGCTGAACGGTGTGGCTGGGCCAGTGACCACTCCGTGCCTGAGACTAACGCACAGCTGACATCCTTTTATGTTCATAAACTAAACATTGTAAACTAGCACTCACAACATGTAAGTGACAGTAAACACTAGCCCCGTGGGAAATGCTTCTGTCTCATATTTATATTGCTTATTGTAAGTTAGCGTGTGAGTGGCCATCAACGCCGCTACATTACTCAGCTAAGGAATGAAAACTCCTTTTTGGAAGAAGCAACTGAAATGGAGTCGAGGGTGATATTTAAGAACAGGCACCCCTCTCTCTGGAAGCACGGCCAGCACATCAGTAGGTAGGCTAGGCGGGAGGCTGCAGGCAGGCCTTTTCGGAAAATCAGTTATTTTCCCGCTGTGGCTCCGGTGATCACAGCGTAAACATTCGCACCATTCACTCCTCGCCATCTGCGTTCAGATGCTTCCAACGTGCTGGCTATTAATTGGGTTCATGCTTTTGTAAACAAAAAAGATAACTATTTTTGCTATGGGCAGTGCTTTTTAAGCATTTCATTCTTTTTCTTCTCCTTCATCTTCTTTCTGCAAGTGTGTTTCCTCTTATTGCCAGAAAGGCTTTACTTTCAATTATTTAAAAACCATCTCCTCTCCACTGTCCTGATTTTAACTGGTTCCACACAGGCAACCTCTGTGGGCAATGCATTCTGCTGGAGTCTGTCAGATACAGTGCCCAGAGCCGCCCTTAAAAAAAAAAGACTATTACCGCAGCTCAGGGCAGATATAAGATGAGATGTTTTGCAACGGATCTGTGCTAGTCTCTCTTATGAAAAATGTAATCAGTAGGAGGTCAAGGTTGGGAGGAAGTAGGAGAAACCAGTGAGGAAAATAATGAAAAAAGCCAGAGCTCCATGGGTAACTGTCCTCAACGTGATAGTTACCCAGTGGTTTTCCCAATTTCCCATGATGACTGCGGGTCCGAATGATCGGGCAGGGTTCATGCTGGCACCGGTGTAATTGATCTGTGGGGAGAAAGAAACCAACTTCAGACTCTGCTGACACAGGCCTCCTGACAGGTCTCTTTCCGTGAGGTTTGCTACCATTTGCAATGCTACCCGAGAGCCGTCAAGATATGAAAATAAAAATATTCAAATGGTAATGGTACATGTGTTTTCAGCTGTATCACACCTGAGATCATCCATGTATGCTTGTAAGTTAAACGGTGATGAACATATCTTTTTCTTAAGTAAATCCATTTGGCCAGTGTATGTATTATTATGAATCCCAAGCTACAGTACAAAGTGGACTAGTGAGTCTTTTATAAATATTTCTGGTAATACTATAACCCTAAGAAGAGTATTTTTTCCTCATTTTTAGCTCACTTCCAATTATGACTTATTTTTTGTCTCTGATCTGTATAATAAATGTAGATGCAACTGAAAACAGGATAGAGCAGATGGACATCTTTTGCAAAAATGTATAGCAAATAAATTTTAAAAATTTATAAGGAATTTATGCTAAACAAAAAGTTTATAATAGAGACATCAAAAAAAAAAAAAAAAAAAGATGCTCGCTATCATATCAACATTCTCGTGGGAAAGCTGGTAAAGTAATCCCCGGGAAGGGACAGACATGGCTGCAGTGAAAGAATTCCAGCTGTAAAACACCACGTTTTCAGGCCAGCTCTAGGGCGAGGCTAAATGGAATGGATCAATTATTCAAATGGATTTGGAAACTTACTGCAAATAAATGTCCAATTGCAACAGAGAATCCAATTGCTAAAGCGATGGAGCCAGTGACATCAGTCCGTTTGGAGTCACAGCTGGCAAAAATAGTAAACACCAACTGGAATGTGATGATCAGCTCCACCAGGAGACCGTGGCCCGCAGTGAGATTCCCATGGACCTAGGAAGAGAAGAATCCTCTGTCTGAGCTGAAGCAAGAATACATTTCCTATGGCGACACAGCATTTCATCCGTGTGAAAGCAATGGTGGGCAAATGATTTCACTTATATGTGGACTCTACAGAACAAAATAGAAACAGAGACACAGAGAAGAGAACGGACTGATGGTTGACAGCAGAGGGGGTGGGGACTGGGTGAGAAGGTGAATGGATTAAGAAGCGTAAATCGTTAGTTTCTGAAAGTCACAGAGATCTAAATGACAGCACAGGGAATAGAGTCAATAATCTATACTAATAAAAGACCAGACATCTTCTGGATGTCCTTCGGGACAAAGCCACAGTAGTGAGGGTTGAGGCAGAGGTGGTTGGGGTGATCAGGTCGCAGGGGAGAAGTTAGGGGCACCAGGCAGGCAGGCAGGCAGGCAGAGTGGTTAGAGGTGATCAGGCAGGCAGCCATGTGAGCGGTTAGGAGCCAGCAGTCCTGGAATGCAAGAGGGATGTCTGACTGCTGCTTTAGGCCAGTTCCCAACTCTGGTCCTGGATTGGAGAGTGTGCAGGCTGGGCTGAGGGACCCCTCCCCCTCACCAATGCATGAATTTCATGCACCAGGCCTCTAGTCTATAATAATAAAAGTGTAATATGCTAATTAGACTGGACAGCTTAATGACCTTCCAGACGTCCTTTTGGATGACCTTCCGGACAAAGCTGGGGCTGCGAGGGCCGAGAGCCTCTTGCACAGATTTCATGCATCGGGCCTCTAGTGTTGTAATAACTATGTAAGGTGCCAGGTGGGTGCTTGAAACACAAGGGGGACTACTCTGTAAAGTACATGATTGTCTAACTACCACGCTGTCCACCTGAAACTAATACGAAAGAATATTGAATGGAAACTGTAATAAAATAAACAACTGATGGCTGCGTCTTCTATTCCACTCACAATTGAGACACTGCTCCCCCACAAAAAGAAGGCACCAATTCCCACTCATTTTGGGCAATCTCAGGTGATTAATTCTCTGACAGCGACCAAGCAGGGGTTTGTGCTGAATGTTGTTTCAACAAGGGAAGCGAAACGTGCCACTGCTCTACCTAATTTATAAAAGAGTTTCTTGAGAGTCTTATAATTTTATAAGGAAATGATTAAATTCATTAATTAGATTTAAATTAATTCATATATATTATTTCAATTAAAATTTATACTGTGTGTGTGTGTGTGTGTGTGTGTGTGTGTGTGTATGTGTGTGTTTTAAATCAACTCTGGTGATGAGCTAACAAATGCTAATCCTAATCAGCTGAGAGCCAATTTAGGTTCAAATGCTAATGTACTTTTTTAAGTGTGATCCTTAACTAGATCATTTAAAATTTCACAAATATAGGAAGAAACAAATTGTTTCTTCTGCTAGTGAACCAACAAATCTATATATATAAAAGTCTAAGTGACTGGAACATCCAGAATGACTGGTTGCTATGATGTTTACTGTGGCCAGCCAACCAGTCCGATCAGGGGTGGGGCCAGCTGACCAACCTCCATGGCCCCTTCCCTCAGCTGGTCTGGCCCCTGACTGCCAGCCCCCCACCCCCACACCTCGATCTGAAGTGGGGCTGGCTGACCAACCTCCTGTATCCCCTCCACCCCTCCAGCCAGCCTGACCCCAATCAGCCTTGATTGGGGCTGGCCGGCCGGACCTCACCTGTGCACAAATTCGTGCACCAGGCCTCTAGTAATGAAATAAAAGTATTTTATGCTAAATGTATAGTTGGTGTAGTCACTGGGGTGGGAGAGAGAAAGGGAAAAACAAACACCATTTTTGTGCCACCAAGACAGTTTTCAAGTTCATCAGGAATCATCAGAAATGCCCTGAGAATAAATTAGCTATTTTAGGAAGGTCTCTCAGGCCTCCAGGGTGTTATTGAATAGAGTCCACAAGAAGCTGAAGTCCTAGTTTAAAAATAAGAGCGGACGGTGTACATTTTCACCATGTAATACTGTGCAGCAATGAAAAAGAAGGATCTCTTACCCCTGAGACAGCATGGACGGACCTGGAAAACATCATGCTAAGTGAAATAAGCCAGGCAGAGAAAGACAAGTATCACACGATCTCACTCATATGTGGAATCTCATGAACAAAATAAACAGATGAACAGAGTGGATCCAGAGACACGGAAGCATGGAACAGAGTGCGGGACCTCAGAGGGAAGGCAGGGAGGGTAGGTGGGCGGGTGGGAGGTAATCAACCGAAGACCATGTGTGCAGGTATGCATGGCCCATGGACACAAACTATAGGGTGCTGAAGGCCTGGGGTGGGAGTAGGGGCGAGCTGGAGGAGGTCACGGAGGGAGGAAGGGGCGGGACACATGTAATATTTTCCACAATAAAAATTAACAAACCAACGAGACAACGCTAAGAGCTGAAGGGGCTACCGTGGTGACGCCCAGGCCGCCCACCACGCCGGGCGGGGTGACGAGGTAGAGGATGCCGGCCCCCAGGATGGCGCCCAGGCACTGGGCCGCGATGTAGAAGACGGACTTGGCCAGGCTCATCTTGCGGGTGCACACCATGGCCACGGTCACGGCGGGGTTGATGTGGCCGCCGCTGATGTGGCCGAAGCACTGCACCATGGTGGCGATGCTGAGGCCGAAGCAGAGCGAGATGAGCACCATGTCCACGGGCAGCGGCTGCTCGGCGCCACCCCAGTTGATGGTGGAGCCCAGGCTGAGCAGCACGAAGATGAGCATGGCCAGGAACTCGGCCGTGACCGCCTTCCAGAAGGCCTGGGTCCACACCCCGCGGAAGGCCGTCATGGCGCCCTGGCTCCCGCACCGAGGCCCGCACTTGCTGGGGAGCAGAGGAGACGGGTGTCAGCAGCGTCAGGGGGCCCCGGCCCCGGGCCTGCTCCATGGCGGGAGCCCCCGGTCACATGCCACAAAGACTGCTTCCGGACACCCTGCCATGGGGTAACCGTCCCCAAACCCGTGCTCAGTGGGTTGCTGTCCGGGTGTTCTTCGATTGGTATGACAAGTGCCCAGTTTCACTGGGAAAGGATCAGCCTGTCACTCGGACGGCACACGTCTGACTGAGGCCTGAGCGGAGGGAGAGGGACACACTTTTCTTAGCAGCTTGTGCCCCTGGGCACTTTGGAAGTGTCAGTGTCCTCCTTCCATCTCTCCCTCCCTCTCTCTCTCTCTCTCTCTCTCTCTCTCTCTCTCTCTCCCTCGACTGTTTATATTTTTAGCAAAAAGCAATAGAGCCTGAGGGAGGCCGTGTCCAGGTGTGGAGCTTATTGCTCCCAGTGGCATTCTGCAAAAGGACCGGAGCCTCGGACTCGGGGGGCTGCAGGGCAGCTGGCATGCTGAGGGCTGTCTTTGCAGAAGGCAGGCTCCTTGGGGGAGGGCACCCCTGGTGACAGGCAGGGGCGTCAGATCCCCCTCCTGTTCCCCAGCCCGAGGGAGTGGCCCCAGGGGCGCTGAGCACAGCTCCTGGCCATAGGCGAGTGCCGGGACCCCCACTGTCAGCCTCAGGCCCCGGTGCCTCTCCCAGGCCAGGACCGGAGAGCGGCCACCACGGCCGGGGCCCGGCTCCGAGCACTGGACAGCCTCAGGGCAGTAGCCAGGCTCAGGGGCAGTGCCCAGGTGGACACACAGAGCTGCCACCTACTCAGAGCCCCCACTGCCCGCATCCCGTGGTCCAGCACCCCCTGCCCTGGGCAAGCTGCGCCCTGCCCACCCCTCAGGGCCAGGGGACTGTCTCTCCTGTGCTGGACCCTCTCAGCCCCGATGTTCCCTAGGGATCCGGAGGCTGGTCTGTGCCAGGGGTGCCCAGGCACCCTGCCCACCTCCAGGGGCAGCCCCGGGTGGACAGCCAGGGAGGCGGAGCTTGGGGCCAGGGAGGGAGGGACCCCAGGCCCTGCGAGCATGGCCTCGGAGGGAGAGGTTTCTCTCCAGTCTTCCTGGTGAGGGCGGTGGGAGCAGAAAGACAGCTTTGGGAGTGAGCACCCCCCTTCCTGGGCGGCCCCCTCACCCTCTGAGCTGGAGACTGGGCTTGGGGACAGGAAGCCAGCCTCATCCTGAGAGAAATGACTGCCACCCCTCGGGGGGGATCACCCATGGCTCCATTTTTCAAGGCTTTTGCCCTTAATCTTCGCTGTTTTATGACAAGAGCGCAGGTACGGCGAGCAAGTAGCAGGGACTCCAAACGCAGGGGCTGAGGGGTTAGGCAAGGAGGCCGGGCGTCTGAACCGCTGTGGGCACTGCCGCCACCTGCTGAGATGCTACACCCCCCCCACACACACCCACCCCCACACACACCCTCACACCCACCCTCACACCCCCCCAACCCCCCCACACCCCCACACACACCTCCACACACACCCACACACACCCTCACATACAGCCACCCCCCACACACACACCCCCACACACCCCCATCCCCCCACCCCCCACAACCCCCGCCACACACCCCCCCACACCCCCCCCACACACCCCCCCACACCCCCCCCCCACACACCCCCACACCCCCCCCACACACACACCCACACCCCCACACACCCCCACACACACCCACACACACCCTCACATACATCCACCCCCCCACCCCCCCCACACCCACCCCCCCATACACCCCCATCCCCCCACCCCCCCACCCCCCACACACACACCCTCACATACATCCACCCCCCCACATACCCCCACACACCCACCCCCCACACCCCCCCACACCCCCCCATACCCCCCCACATACCCTCACACCCACCCCCACACACACCCTCACATACATCCACCCCCCCACATACCCCCACACACACACCCCCATCCCCCACACACACCCTCACACCCACCCCCCCCACCCCCCACCCCCCCACCCCCACACACACACCTCACCCCCCCCACCCCCCCACACCCCCCCACACACCTCCACACACCCCCACACACACCCTCACATACATCCACCCCCCCCCCACACCCCCATCCCCTCCCACAACCCCCCCACACCTCCACACCCCCCACACCCCCCCACACACCTCCACACACACCCACACACACACCCTCACATACATCCACCCCCCCACATACCCCCCCACACCCACCCCCCACACACACCCCCATCCCCCCACCCCCACACACACACCTCCACACCCCCCCACACCCCCCACACACCCCCACACACACCCTCACATACATCCACCCCCCCACACACACCCCACACACACACCCCCATCCCCCACCCCCCTCACACACACCCCCACACACCCCCCACACACACCCCACACACACACCCCCATCCCTCCCTCACCCCCCCCACACCTCCCCACACCCATTCCCCCCCCACGCACACCTCCACACGTCACTGGGTCCCCCGGAGCCAAAGGCCAGGGGAACTCAGCCTTGACTTTCAGGAGCTCCGCTCAGCCCCCGGTCTGACATGGAAAGAGACCCCCATTTCCTGCCCAAGCCCAGGAGGCCCCGGGGAGGGCCAGCCCGCTGCCCAGTGAGCCCTCTGAGTGAATCCTAATTACAAACCCCGCGGGGAGGCCAGGACCGCACACTCCGGAGGCCTGGGAGCTGGGGCAGGAGGCGCCCTGGGAGAGACATTATCAGTTCCCGGGGGAGGCAGACAGCTCACACACGGGCAGAGGGAGGGCCTCCGTGCTCAGGCAGCCGGGCAGGGCCCGGGGCTGCACCTGCCGCTCCTCCCTCCGTAGCCGGAGTCCGTGGGAAAGAGGAAGCCACAGAGCAGAAGCCCAGGAGCCAGTGGGCAGTCCCCTTCAGCGGCCATGGCCACAGGTCACCAGGAGGCAGGCCTGGAGAGGGCGCACCCCCACCCACTGCACCCCTCTTCCCTCACCTTCCCCAGCTCCCGTTCTCTCTCCCTGCCCCTCCCTCAGCCCTCTCCCTGCCCATCCCTCACCCCCTCTCCCTGCCCCCCCTCAGCCCCTCTCCCTGCCCCCCCTCAGCCCCTCTCCCTGCCCCTCCCTCAGCCCCTCCCTCAGCCCCTCTCCCTGCCCCTCCCTCAGCCCCTCTCCCTGCCCCTCCCTCAGCCCCTCTCCCTGCCCCTCCCCCAGCCCCTCTCCCTGCCCCTCCCTCAGCCCCTCCCTCAGCCCCTCTCCCTGCCCCTCCCTCAGCCCCTCTCCCTGCCCCTCCCTCAGCCCCTCTCCCTGCCCCTCCCTCAGCCCCTCTCCCTGCCCCTCCCCCAGCCCCTCTCCCTGCCCCTCCCTCAGCCCCTCCCTCAGCCCCTCTCCCTGCCCCTCCCTCAGCCCCTCTCCCTGCCCCTCCCCAGCCCCTCTCCCTGCCCCCCCCTCAGCCCCTCTCCCTGCCCCTCCCTCAGCCCCTCTCCCTGCCCCTCCCTCAGCCCCTCTCCCTGCCCCTCCCCCAGCCCCTCTCCCTGCCCCTCCCTCAGCCCCTCTCCCTGCCCCTCCCCCAGCCTCTCTCCCTGCCCCCCCTCAGCCCCTCTCCCTGCCCCCCCCTCAGCCCCTCTCCCTGCCCCTCCCTCAGCCCCTCTCCCTGCCCCTCCCTCAGCCCCTCTCCCTTCCCATCCCTCGAGCATCCGTCCACCTCTCCAGATACCTAATTTCAGAAACCCAGTTGCTCCTTCAGCTTTAAATTTTCACCAGAAAAAAATATCCACAAAAACCAACAGAGAAACTAAGGCCTTAGGGAGCCTCTGGCTTCTCCGGAGAGCCCCGCGTCTGCTCCCCTCCGAGTCCCCTGGCAGCGCACGCAGACCGGGGCCTCAGCAGCTCCCCAGCGGCCCCCTGTGGCCCTCAGAGCCCCCCCCCCCCCGAAATGGGGCGACACCATTTGTTTAGCTCCCTTTGCCCAGAACAAAGGGGCTCGGGGCGCCCATGGCAGGGAAAGGGGACTCCCGGCTGACCTGCTGCCGGCGCCCAGCCCGAGTGGTCATGTTCCCGATGGGAAGGCTTTGGCAGCCCCACCTCCAGGCCCACTGCCTGCGGCCCCAGGTCTCCAAGGCGCACCCCTTCCCGCAGCCCTCCCGCCCGCCAGCACCCCGGGCTCAGCCCTCAGCCGCTCCGCTCCCTCCCGGGCCCTGCGGGGCGGCACCGGCCCCCAAAGCGGCGCTCCCGCCTGCCGCCCGCAAGGCCCGCAGGCGAGCAGGACTCACCGCCACCGCCCGGCTGCGGCTGCGGGTCCGGCGCCCTCGCTCATGCCTTCCCCGCCGAGTGCGGCTCTGGCCCGCCCGCCCCTCACCAGGCCGAGTCAGATTACGGCCGGCCTGATTGGGCTGGCAGCGCCGGGGACCTGTGCCATGTGGCAGTCACTCAGTGCCATTTGCGCTGGGCCTGCCTCTCCCTCCCCCCCCCCATCCCGGGACAGGGCGCTCAGGAACAAGCACGCTGACGCTGCTGACGCTGCTCCTTAGCTGGCCGTTGGATGACCGGGGCTCCCCCAAATCTTGTCTGCACTCTCCCCCGCCCCCAAAGAAGGGGTCGGTTGGTTGTTTGCAGTTGAAATTGGGCAACTCTGAGAAGGGGTGGGCACCACCGGGCGGGCTGGGAGAGGAACGGAGAGGCCGCAGCGCAGTAGCCGCTGGCAGGGACCAGGGACGGGAAGTGTCTGGTCTGAGAAGTGGCATGCGGAGCCAAAGGTCCCGCAGGTCTGCCTGCAGCGGGCCCCGGTGCGGATAACAGGGAACAGGAAACACAGGAGCGAGGCCGCCTCCGGGCTGACCCGGTGGTCCTGTCACTAACACTGCGGGGTCAGAAGCAGCGGAGGAAACAGAATGGGTGGGGACAGGTTCCTGGGAGCTGCAGGTGAAGGTGACTCCTAGAATCTGAGGCAGGACAGACTGTGTCGTTCGTGGAGCCCAGGAGTCTCCCAGGCTGCGTGGCCCTGAGGGCAATGGGGAGCTGTCCGGGCCGGGATGGGACCTGGGGCTCAGCGGCCGCCAATGGGAACCCCGTACCCTCTCTTGGCGAGTCAGTCATCGCTGGCCCTACATGGCCCTCTTATTTTATGAGTCAATTCCTCCTCCTCACTAAGACACCGAACGTGTGGGAACGCACCGCTCAGCCCCACAAAGAAATGACAACTCACATCTCTCCATGGGCCGGTCCCCTCCCGGCCCCGCCTGTCCTCTGAGTCCAGACCAGAGTCTGTTTCAGAGTGAGGCCTGGGGAGGAGGAGCTGTGGCTTCTTCCTGGTGAGTGAAGCCCGTGGTCAAGGTCATCCCCGCGGGGCCCTGCTCCCCAGGCTGCTGGCTGCGGGTCTTTGCTTGGTGCCCTCTCTGCAGGCGCTGGCTCATTAGCAGGCTGCCCACACCAGGGCAGTTCCCGGCACCGGCGCCCTCAGTGCCAGCAGCACTTGGCTCCGGCCGTTTCTCAGACCCTCGCCCTTTCTTCGGGCTGGCCGGTCGCCGCCCTGGTCTCAGCCCACAGCCCAGTTCCTAAGGATGGCGGTTCCCCAGGGCAGGGCCACCCTCCTTGGCAGCAGCTCTTACAGGGATTGGTAGCTCAGCAGGGGCTGATGGTGACCGGGGATTAACCCTTCACCGCCAGGAGGTGGTTTTTCTCACTGGGCAGGACTGCGGTCCTTCTCAGGTGCCAGTGGGAGAGCGAATCCTGCTGCCGCACCTGCAGCCCCATGCCCTGCCCACTCCGCAGCTCCTCTCTCCCTCAGGGGCCTGGTGTTTCTGTGGGTGAGGGACACAGCTTCCCCGCAGGACTGTCGGTGGCGAGGCGCTCAGGATGTGGTGATGGAGGAAGGCAGCCATATATAATAAGTTCGTGGTGATGGTGGGGGTGAGACGAATGGGAGCCTGGTGAATATTCATGGTAGTGTCTAAGGGGATCTGCTTTGAAGTGCTCTGGACCAGTGGTCGGCAAACTCATTAGCCAACAGAGCCAAATACCAACGGTACGACAATTGAAATTTCTTTGGAGAGCCACATTTTTAAAACGTAAACTTCTCCTAACGCCACTTCTTCAAAATAGACTCGCCCAGGCCGTGGTGTTTTGTGGAAGAGCCACACTCCAGGGGCCAAAGAGCCCAATGTGGCTTGCGAGCAGCGGTTTGCCGACCGTGGTCCTGGGCCAAGAGCCAAATGCTATTTGGAATCTAAGACATTTTCTCTCCCGTTGGTGAACTTGGAAGGACCGAATTCACTTGGAAGTAGAATAACATCTCCACCTCTCACCAAGTAGTCCTGCAGTCTCCTGGGATGGCAGCCGGGCAGGCTGACTTCCAGTCAGCCCTTCGGGTCAGGCCGGCTGGGAGAGTTGGGTGAGTGAAGCTGTGGCTCGGGAACATGTGAGGACACATGAAAGAAGGTAAGTGACAGCTACAACAATACTCAGCAGAAAGTAGCTAACCGACCTAGCTCCGAATTTTAAACTCACACGGCGCCACTCTCCTTTGGCGCCGACGTGCGTCTTCGGGGTTTGTGGACTGTCCCCCACCTTTGCCCTCAGAACCTTGAACTCTTCCTCCTGTGTGCAGAGAGTGAAAACTGAAACAGCCCTGGCAGTGCCAGCAGGGCCTCCTCCCGGACGGGGAGTGCCCTGGGCTGGTGGGGGCAGAGTCAGTGGCAACTCATAAATCTTATTTTACTTTTCACGAACTGCAGCATCATGAACTCCCTAGAGCCCTTACATATCAGCATGTTCATGACAAACAAACACAGAAACACAACAGCAGCTGCAGGGGCTGCCGCCACCGCCACCACCACCACCACCACCACCACCACCACCACCACCAGCTCATAGCCACCAGCCCAGGGCTGTAATGGTGGCTTTGTTCTTCTATCAGAGAGGCGTTGCCTTATTACAATGCAAAGTGGTTTCCAGAAGCACAGTCCCTCACCCGGAGCGTAATGCAAAAATAACATCTAAAGCCAGCAAGGAACCAAGTGGTGGACCCCGCTTCCCGTTCTTCAGTGGGGTGCATCTGAGGAGACCTTCTCCAAGGCCCCCTAAATCCTGTCACTGAGCCCCTGTCCCGCCCCCAGCCCCGCGGATCCAGGTCTCCCCTGGCTGGTAGAGCAGCACATTTTCCTTGATTCGCACCCAGGCGGCCTCTGCTTCGGCGGGGAGCTGCACTCACTCCGCTGACATTTAAGGCAGGAATTCCCTGGGAAAATAGTCAAGAGATTCTTCTGGTGCTGCTGGCAGGGCCCCAAAGGGTTTAGGGTTCCCCTCTCTAGGCAAATGGGAAGGGAGCGAGGGAGGGAGGGGAGAGAAACAGAAGGACTTTATTGAGTGACTGTATTTCATCTGGAGCTTGTACAAAAAAAGCAGAAATGTGGTGAGATGACTGGATACGTTTCTTACCCTTATCTCTCACCCAGCTACCATGACAGTCCAGACCTGGGCTGGGTGTTTTAAAGGCTGCTTAGATATCCATAGTAAAAGAAGAAAAGAAAAAAAGAAATATCTGTAATACTTTCAACAATAAAGAGAATTAAAATAAATCAGTTATCTGGGTAGCAGAGAACTTTGGGATCTAAGGGGTTGGGCCAAAATGTTTGAAATGGTCAATAATCAAAGTATAATCTGTAGTAGCAACCATTCCAAAATTTAACTTAAATGTGAACACTTCAAATCTGAACCCTTCCCACCCTCATTGGCACCAGATCACATACTTATTAGTACGAATGAAGGCCCTTTCCAAGAGAAGAGCAGAAATGGTCATAATCTGCGACTCTCAACAGTCAAGTCAAACAAACCTTCTCTTGCTTCTTTCCTGCTTGACCTTCTCTAAATTCTGAATAATGTGGTTACCTCATCCAGCATCTAGAAGGGTTCAGGAATCTGGAGAAGGCGCTGTGTAAATTAAATAAGAGTCCAGAGACAAAACACATTTTTGCAAGGCATTGGGAGGCAGAGGAGCTTGGCTGAAGAAACCAAGTTCTCCTTGTCTCAGGACCCCTTGCTATTTATTAACACAATTTGTCCTAAAGCGAGGTGGAGACATACACATCAAAGGGTAAGGTTTGGTACACAGAATCCATTGTCAGATTGGAAGAATTCCCTCCAGCTGTTCAGGTGTTTGGCCAGGAGGAGGCAATAACATGTAGATTAAGATGCCCTCAGCTGTCTGGCAGCAAACAATCAATTTATGCTTCCTTTTCAGGTTTGGGGAAATGCCCTCGGCCATCTCCAGATGATTCAGCCCTGCTGACATGCTGGAATCGGCTTTCGGCATCTGTACTTCTGGTTTCACACATGCAGAAGAAATCAACATCCGAAAAACTCACGGAGCCTCTGAGAGGCGACAAGTTTCATGGATGGTTTCACCTGCACATCCTCATCCCCAGCTGGCCCTGGGCCCGCATGCCTGAGGTAGGGGACCAGTCATTGTCCTGGCCGTGCCTTCTCAGCTCCCACCTTTAAAGACTCAACTAGGGCAGTGGCTGGCAAACCACGGCTCGAGAGCCACATGTGGCTCTTTGGCCCCTTGAGTGTGGCTTTTCCACAAATACCACAGCCTGAAAGAGTCTATTTTGAAGAAGTGGCATTAAAAGAAGCTTAAGTTTTAAAAATGTGGTTCTCCTAAGAAATGTCAATTGTCCTGTTTGTATTTGGCTCTGTGGATCAAGGAGTTTGCCGACCACTAAACTAGAGGGTCCTTTCATCGTTCATGCTTTTCCCTTTGCCACACGATCTCTGATTTATTTATTTATTTATTTATTTATTTATTTATTTATGTATTTTAAAAAATATATATTTTATTTATTTTTTACAGAGAGGAAGAGAGAGGAATAGAGAGGTAGAAACATCGATGAGAGAGAAACACTGATCAGCTGCCTCTTGTACACCCCCTCCTGGGGATGTGCCCGCCCGCAACTAAGGTACATGCCCTTGACCGGAATCGAACCTGGGGCCTTTCAGTCCGCAGGCCGACGCTCTATCCACTGAGCCAAACCAGTTTCGGCTCTGATTTATTTTTAAACAGTCACCACCATTGATCTCCAGCTTGGAATCTGCTCATTGCAAACTTGCTAGGCTCGAGTTGCTTAAAAATCCCACAGTAACCCGTGATCCTATGTGATTCTCTACAGATATCACCAGGCAATGCATCTGGACCATTCACTACTATTCTGATGCTAAATTGGTCCCTCTTGTTGGATATACACTGCAACTGTGGGCTACAGATGTCTTACGTTTCTTACAGTGATGCTGCTGCTGCTGATAGTGATGATAAAAGTGACT